CGGAGGCAGCATTTGTGAAAATTTCAACTTATTTTGTAGGTAAAAAAAAAGCATGTGAATTTGACATATACCACCGAGAGAAGTTAGGTTTTTTTCTCCTAACATTTGGACCAGTTACAGTCTTCAAAGTCCAGCTACAGTTACAAAAAATTCCCTTGCAAAGGCTATAATAATAAAAAAAAAGTGACCAACGTATGTTCGTTTTTTAGTTTAGTGTCTAAGATTTTTTTGTTTTAATTTGGTGTCTAACGTTACATTTCGTAACTTAGAATGGGTCACGCCGTGACAGACCGTTAATATTCTCCGTTAAGTGACACGTGTCACAATCTAGTAATTTTAAAATTTTCTTTTAAAAAAATAAATATTAAAAATATTATTATATTTATAAAAAAAATTATTATTTCTTTTAAATTACAAAAAAGTCGAAATCCTCACACTGAAGCTTACCCACTGCGGCGGACGGCGGCTATGACGTGATCCGCCGATTGGGTTTTGAGCGGACGGCGACGAGGAAGCTAAATATAGTGGCGGTGAGGCGAACGGAGGTTCGAAGAGGACGAAATCGTCAAATTCGAGGCGTCGGGTGGATTTTCGACGAAACGATTCCGACGAACGGCGATGGCTATCTACGAATTATTTTGGAGGTTTTGATCATGGCACGCGAGGTGCTTCGATTGGGTTGGACTATGATAGGAATGGACAAGCGACGGTGGCGATCGACGTGAGTTTAAGGGTTAAAATGAATGTTTTCAAAGTTTTGAAATGAATTCCCCCTAATTTTACCCGATGAACTTTGTTTCTATAAGGAATGTTGGAGAATCAACGAAATTTTAGCTCGCGACTAGTTTATATTTGTTTGAATTTCGACTGTTTTTTTATTCTTTAAATTTTGATTTTGTTTAAAATATATGCTACCGAAACTTTATGATGAAATTTAAGTCTATATTATTGTTAACGCCGAATTTATTTTTTGTTTGTATTGATTTTAGTTTATGTGGAATGTGTGAATATCTGTAAGTTAACGAGAGGGGAAGGAAGTGAAAGGTATGACTGTAGCGTGTTTTCTTGTGCTTTGATAGCTCCAAGAGTCTTAACTGGATTCCCTGCGAGCATTGTTAATCCTTCTCATTCTTCCTCCTCCATCTGCGCTCGCCATGAGAGAAGAAATCGGGTCAAACTAGCGTGTTTATTTCAGTTTTTCCTCTTTTATTGAAATAATCCCAAAACTTTAAAAACCTTCATTTTAATCCATAAACTCACGCCGATCGTCGTTGTCGCTCGTCCGTTCTTGTCACTTGTCACCTGTCATCGTCTAATTCAATCGAAGCGTCTTGCCGCCATAATCAAAAACCCCCAAAACAATTCATGAATAGCCATTGTCGTTCGTCGGAATCGTTTCGTCAAAAATTCAACTCGACGCCTCTTCTGACCGCCTCAAACCTACGTTTGTCTCGCCGCCACTATATTTAGTTTTCTCATCACCGACTGCTCAAAATCCAACCAATAAGTTTTGTCGTAGTTACCATCCGTCCACGTGAATAAACTTCAGTGTGAGGATTTAAATTCTTTTATAATTTAAAAGAAATAAATTTTTTTTATAAATATAATAATATTTTTAATATTTATTTTTTAAAAAAAAATTAAAATTATCAGATTATTACATCATGTCATTTAACGAATAATATTAACTGTTAATCACTACATGACCCATTCTAAATTATGAAATATAACGATAGACATTAAATTAAAACAAAAAAAAAATCTTTTAGATACTAAACTAAAAAATAAACATACGTTAAACACCTTTTATATATTAAATCCTACTCCAAATGAGCTTGAGATTGTAGCAGTAATGTGCTCAAGAAACTCTGTACACAATTTGTTTTGAAGAGTACTATCAAAGGACAAGTCCCCCCCCCCCCCCAACTAGGCCAAAACCTGAGTCCCCCAGCTTTTTAATGTCTATCAAATGATGTAGATGCATAAATCATAATCATTCACCGTAACAGTAACTTAAAAAAAACTGACAGAACAAAAAGAGAACAAGAAGTTGTGAAACCATCAGGCATTTAGCAAAGTTCAATGCATGTTCTTTGTGTGCATTGGCATACATGATGCATACATATAATAGAAAGCTTCGTATTTTTGGATTTTGCTGCTTTTCTTGCTATGATATTTGTACATGAATATGGATACCAAAATACTAGCTTAAACACTCAAATTAATGAGCTTAGCAATTAACATCCCACAAAACAAAAACACCCTTTTTGTCCATTCAAACCATACCAATATCATTATGGTGTGGATGGTATTCGACCCAAAAATCTTAGTTAAAAAAAGCTAAAGAGCCTAAAACACCTTTCCCCCTACTTTCTTTTACTTCAATTTCCACCATGTCTGCGCTCTATAGAGCGATCTGAGTCTGCAAAGTAGTGGCATTGAACCCCACCTGCTGCTGCTCAACTTCCCAACTTGCCTTAGCTATGGTTCCATCATGCACAGGCACGTACTCCTAATCAAAACAAAATCAGGGCTACCATTTACAAAAAAACAGGTGGGGAAAAAAAGGACCCCAAGAAAGTAATCTGAGAGATTCCTTTTTATCTAAACAAACCAGACTGCATTCCATATATGAGCCTCATTTTGTTAGCTAACAAAAGTTTGATGACAAAAAACGAAGGGAATACCAGTTCTAGGCAATAAATAACCCACCTCGAGCTTCTGGACCAGTTCTTTGGCGTTTGGTGCATTGACAATGATGTGGCGTTGGGAAGGCTTGATAAAGCCATCATCCACGGCTTTGTCGATGAAAGTCAGTAGGTAATTATAATATCCATCGACATTAAGCAACCCCACCTGTGTATTTTAGGAAACAAAAGATGGGTTTCAAAGGAAAAAGAACCCGAAATCATCATTGGAAACAAAAGATGGTAAGCAAATTTATTGCTTACAGGCTTGTCATGGATGCCCAGCTGTGCCCAAGTTATCACTTCCAGTAACTCCTCTAAAGTTCCATATCCACCTGAAACAATAACAAAGAGAAGCAAAAGTGAGCACTCCATGGAGGGTGATTGACTTGTTGGACTAGATACTTGTATTTAAAGAGAGATGGGACCTGGTAGGGCAATAAAACAATCAGAGTGGCGGGCCATTTCTGCCTTTCTTTGGTGCATGTTGGCTACTGGTCTTACTTCCCCAACCGTTTCACCGGTTATCTGTGGCTCCACATGCAACACCCATTCTCAACACATCATTCAAAAGCTAGAGCAGCTCGTAAAATGTGAAATACGAAAAGAAGAAAAGGCAACTGATTTTCACCTCTTTGCTCATCAGGGTTATAGGAATGATCCTGTTAAACAGCCAGTATAAGTCAATAAATGGAACACAAAAAAACCCAAAAGACTAAGTATAGAGCTTGATGAGTGTACCCGAGAACATTCCCTCCAGCATTATGAACAGCTTGTGAAACCAAACCCATCAACCCAATACTGCCTCCACCATAAACAAGGTCCAATCTTCTTGCCACCTTTCAGAAGCAAATCAATAAAATATGAAAAGCCATTAAAAACAAACATAAAAAAGAAATAACCATGCTTGAGATGTGTGAGTTACGTGGTAGATGTTTGAACGTACGTACCAATTCTTGGGCCAATTCAACTGCAGCATCTCTGTAACATTTCCTCTTGCCAGTACTGCTCCCACAGAAAACACACACTCTCTTGAATCTTGATCTCACAACTCCCCCTTCCGTATCCATGAGATTCTGGTTATCAAATTTCCTTCTTTGCACTCAGAGAAAGAGAGAGAAAGGTGTGGGGACAAGCACGCTCCTTTGCTTCTTCCTCTGGGCAATATAAAACGAAACAAGCCCCATTTATATTTATAGACTCTCCTCGTAAAATTTGTTTTTTCTTTCTATAAATATTTTATTTTCATCTAAGGTTATATAAAAAGGGGTGATCACCCTACTTGAGATGTGAACTTAAAATGTTACGAAAATGATGAGAATAATAAATATAGATCAAGACAAAAGCGCTATTAACAGTATGCAGATGGGAAGAAGTGAAAATGCATGTAGTTTTCGTTTGTTTAACACGTAAGACGTTTTTTAAAAATTATTTTTTTTATTTTTCAGTATTTAATTAGAGAAAAAATGATTGATCAGTAAAATATTTTTTTTGATAAACAAAATTATTTTGTGTTTTTTTATAAAATAACTTACAATCTGATTTTTTTATAAGTTAATTTTTAAATTTTTTATTTTAAAGAATAAATACTCAAAATAATTTTATTTTATGAATTTAATATTAATAAAATATTTTAATATAATTTTAATCAAAATATTAATTATTAAAATATTAAAAATATATTTATTAATATTTCTAATAATATAATATTATATTTTTAATATTATAATAAAATAATCAATTATATTATAATAATATAAGATATTATATTTTTATTTTAATAATATATAATAAATTATTAATTAAATTTATTTTATTTATTAATTTCATAGAAATAATATTATTAAATTATTAACAATGAATAATATTATTTATATATTTAATATTAATATAATAATCTAATAATATTTTAATAAAGATATTTAAAATATACTAATTAATATTTTTAAAATATAATATAACACTATTACTTTAATAAATAATTAATATAATTTATAATATTTTTATTTCAATAAAATATACCAACATTAATATTTTTATTAATAAAATTTAAAAAAATAATATTTTAATAATAAATAAATAATTTTAATATTTTAAAAATAATAATATTAAGTTTTATGATAAATAATATTATTTATTGTATTTAATATTTATAATAATTAATTTTTAAAAAATTATTAACTAATGAAAAAATGATTTAAACAATATTTTAAAACGTTTTTTCAAAAAAAAATATTTTTTAAAAAATATAATTTATTTTACAAAAAAATATTTTTCGTTAAATGTTTTCGGTGAAATAAAATAATTCGTAATAATTACAGAAAAAGTTGTCCATTATCAACTCCACGTGTGTCAATGTGAAGCCAGAAACGTGTAGTAAATTTCTTGTAGTACTGTGTAAAAAAATCCTTAGACAGTTGAATACCGAGTAAATTAGTTTTGAGCTTAAACTATATCATTTTCCATTGATAATCATAAACTTTAATCGAAAAGAAAGAGAAGAAGGGTGTGTGACGATTGGTTTCTGATGAATTTCTGATAAGTTCATCTTTATCATAAATCATTCACCAGGTAGAAAGACAAAGGGATAGCTATGGTTTATTGTATCTGCAGCAGAGCTGTGGGTTTTCATTTTCATTCCCAAAGAAGAGCCAAAAGCCGGTTCTGAGCTGCAACCCTGCAAACAGCATTTAATTTTTTGTCCACACACGAAAGCGAAAGGCAATGCCATCGCTCTATCTTGTAAGTAAAACACACTTCCAGCATGAAAAAGGTTACAAACAGTTCACAAATTCTTATTTACACAAAAATGAAGTCCTCAAACATAAACAAATACACTCACTCCATTAAATTGGGTGGTAAAGGTTACATCATATCCATAATCATCATCATGATTTACTATTTTAATCAATGTGAAAATTGAAACGGAAGTACATGCTCAGTCTCACTTAACATCTGTTGGGTGTATACTATTTTATCAGTTCAAGTTAATGAGGATTTGACTCCACAACACAGTTTTGTTCACCCTTTTCCCCGACTGTCAGCTTCACCTTTCAAACTTACTCAACAAAGGGACAGATAAACTCATGAAGAAAGAGTTCAACTTTCTTGCTTTGGTAATGTTCAAATGTTTCATTCATCTGGTTTTGTATCAGACATGCACGTCTTTGGGAACAAAGCAATTGGTAAAACTGAAAGAACCCCTTAAGATGGTGGGGTAGGTGCCCCAAATTCTTGCAGGTAGAAGAAACTCACAAGGCATTGCCGAAGGGTTGATGGTTGAAGGAAGGTACACAAGTGGGGATTTGACCAATGGAAGGTTGATGGAGAAATCTGTGATGGATGAGGCTAAGAGTCTATGAGGCTTCCTGCACCTGCATATGTAGGCCATTAGCAATTAGCTTTCTCATCTAGCACGTTCCTATTTAATGCTGTCTGACACTCTTTGCAACTTTAATAAAGGGATGTTTTAGCCACGTGTCATCGTGGGAAGCATGCACTTGGTTCTTTATGTATGTATATATTAAATGTTGGGGATGAAATCATGAAAGTGTAAGTTGAAGTGGGAGAAATAACAATAGGAGAGAGCATTGACCATTGTATAGTAAAAGCTTTAAATGCAGAAACAGTTATAGATGAAAAGAAAGGCATTGCAATGATTGTTCTACGCCGTCTCTATTGTGCATATATTAATATCTACTATTTAATCTTTTGGTGGTTGATTTTTAGGCCATTTTATTGAAATATCACTAGTACATATAATAATTATCTGTAATACACTCTTTTTTCTAATATTATTAATCTAGTTTCTTTTTTTGATAAGGTACGGATCAACATCCGTGTTTTCGTGAATTTTGTTTGAGATGACGTCACGTAATGAATCTGCGTCTTAGCTGAACCTCTAACATATACCGAAGATGTAGATCATAAAGTACGAATTCCTTAAGTCCACATCATCGCTAAAAACATTTTTAAAAAATATGCTTTACAAAAACTAAAAAAATAAAATTATAGGGATTAACATCGTAATTTAATATATATTAATTCCATGAATTGAATAGTTTAATGGGGTTAGCTTATATATGCATATTGGAGTGTTTAAGTTATGTTTCTTGACAATATGAGATAAAAGCTAAAATATGTATTTCTTGACAATTTGTTTAGGTTATATTTCCATGAGTTGCATTCGATCATTTTAATTACATTTTTATTTTAATTATATACATATAAATGTAATAAGAAGTTAATAAAATTATTATTTGTTTAATTTTTAAGCTACCTTACATCAACCCAAAAATAAAAGTGAAAAATAATTGATTAATTACTTAGTATTAGATCATGTTACTACTATATCATCAATGTATATTGTAACATATATATATCTTATATGCATTTTGATTTCGATAAATAGAGATGAGTTAATTTAAGAAATTTAAAAATAAGCATGAATCAATTTACTTCAATGATTAAAAGAATCGTTGTTGTTCCTAGAAATTATGAGTTCAAGCACCAACGACTATAAAGATGATTGAACATTCAATGTTAACCTTGTAATAATGCATGCATACTTCAGCTGATTGTAATAATGCATTATCAACATCTATAATATGCTAAAAAAAGAAAATTAATGAAATATTAATAAACAAAAAGACAAACAATTATCCAAGCGAGAGGACAATAATGGTAAATATAATAATCAGACTTTTTATTATTATTTTTTTACTAACATCAAAAGGGTTTACTTTCCAATGATGAGAAAATAAAAATTTGGACTGCTTTTTTTCTTTTATTCCACACGTAAATATGAACATATTATATAATCTTTTGGAAAGGAAAATAAGAATAACTTAAAAGGATTAAGTTTGGCTAAATGACATGCACAAGCAACTTGTTATGAGTGACCTAATACAATTTATTATTATTTTTTAAATTAAGAATCAAGATTCGAACTTGATAAAATAATCTATACGTCTTTGATTACTCAATCACCTAATACATTTCGCCGTCGTCATATTCTTTTTGTATATAATATATGAACTAAATTAAGCATTACCACTAATGATAATTACTATTTGCCAAATTCATTATATGCAACTAATCACATGGGGGAATATTAATCGAAGAAGATGACGGTCTATATCTCATGATAAAACTTATTGGTACCAATATAAAAAATATATACAAAACTTATTTTTAACTTCGTAAAAAATAAAATTATACTTGTCCTAATTTTATAGATTAACAGATAAAAAATATATAATCATAATTAATATAAACCTATATTATTCTTATGGTACCGATATCAAAGGTAAGAGAAGTATCGATACTCACTAGGTAGTATCGATACTATCAGTAATGCTCAAATTTCAAAATACAAAAATGGCACCGAAACCCAAAGGGGTACCGATACTACTTTGTATAGTAGTATCGATACCATAGACATAGTATCGATACCATCATGCCCCAAAGGCTAGTTGATTTAAAAATAACAAAGGTAGTATTGATCCTCCCTTTAGGAGTACCGATACCCTCTGTACTGGGTAATTTTATTTTGCAGAGAAACCATCCCAAACGGCTCCAAATCACTCCCAACGGCTATAAACGGCCACAACTTCATTCCAACATATAAATACAATTTGAGGACACTTGAAGAAGGGTTAAAACACATATCCAAGCATTTAAAATACAAGAGAAGAGTTTTCCAATCTTATTTTATCTCTCTTGTAAATATTAGTGTTTTTAGTGAGCTAAATTTGTAAACACCCTACCTTTGAGAGGTTTTATTGTTTATTTATTTTTACCTTTTGTAAAAGGGGATTGGTTTTATCTTAGCCAAGTGAAAAGATAGGGAGTGTAAAGGTTATCTCTTTATCCTTGAAAAAGAAAGAACAAATTAGTGAATTTGTTAAAAAATTCTAAGTGATGATCTTAGGTAGTGGAGATAGACTTAGTTGAGAAGTCGAACTACTATAAATCCTTGTGCCAAATTTCTCTATATTTTTCTCTCCTTACTCCCTAAACAAAATATTGCCATTTCACCCCCTTGTGCAATTTTCGGTTATTCAATTGAGCATCTTCGATCCTAACACATACTTTCTACATTGAGCTATGAAATCAGCATGAACAATCGCTCCCCCGCATCACGACATTACACCTTTAGACCTCGATTTCGACTATTCTCCCTATCTTCGAAATTACGAAGCAAGTGGAAATCATATATGACGACATCGAAAGATAGGGGAGAATGAGAAAATCATCAGGCCACATGTGTTAAGTCCAAGAAGAAAGCATTATCGTCTTTTGCTTCCGCTTCATCATCTTCCACTGAAGAGTACTATTATGGATCTCAGGATAGCTTCGGTTTCTGTCATCCATTTCACACTTGAGTCTAGACTCGACCGAATTGGGTTGAAAGTTCATGGGATGCACTGCAATACACTCAAACATATTCGACAGAACAAGCGGTTGCGGGTGAGTGGGACCATGTCCTATATGGTCAACAAAGTAGGAGCCAAGTCAAAGTAGTTACGATAATGATGGCATCAAATGTCATAAATCCATCAGTGTGTTTCGAAGGTGGATCACAGAGTGTGTTAAGTACACCTTATTGGCAAGACGACAACGATGACAATGACGATGAAGGCTTACGACCCCGTCGTACTTGACGAGCCCCTTGCAATTATCATTCGACAATTCCTCGACATCGTAAATAACTTCAAAGGCATAGTTACTTTTTTTGCAAAAAAAATATTTCTTGCAATTATTTGTTTACTTTGTATTTTATAAAATATAAACAAATTCATTTTTTTAATTTTAATTTTCCCCAACCGAACTCGGTTCCAAGTGACCGTTGATGTCCGTCTACCCGTTGACCAACGCTAGTTTTTTTGAATTTGAACGAATTAGTCACCTCAACGTGACGAGTTTTACCTTTTTTTTTAAATTTCTAAATTTTATTTATTTTTTAAATAAAAAATATTTTTTAATAATCACCTCTTTGTGATGAGTTATTATAGTGCTAATAAAATAATGACCCACGTGGGACCCACTACGCGAGAATTAATTAAAAATAATATCCGATGGAACTCGTCACTTGTACTGTAGAAATTGTCGTACTCTCCAAAATAAAATCTGGGTAAGCCCAATACCCTAAATAATTGACTCGCTTGGTTATTGAGAAAAAAAAGTCATTTTCTACAGTGTTCATGGAACTCGTCACGTCGAGGTGACGAGTTTCAATAAAATATAATTTTTATTAAAATTTATCAAATCGAGGTAAAATGTTTGAATAAAAATAATTTTAGTTAGAACTCGTCATCTCGACGCGACAACTTTCATACACTGTAAAAAATATCGTAGATCCTAAAATAAATTTCGTGCCCTATTTTACCTAAAAAAAATTGGGCTTCCTTATTGGGCCATAAAACCCAGCTGCTGCTCTTAGTTGTTTGGATTTTGGAATATCATCTTGGGTGATACAGTTCAACATAGCCTCACTTGGATGGATGGTAAAGTTAAGGTTGTACCTTTGATTGTTTCGATTTAGGAAAACAACAAGGATCCTGCACAAACAAGAAAGCTAAAAAAAATAGTTAAATGGAAGTAATGAAATGGAAAGATAAATATGGTAGCAGAATATATATAAGTTGGTGATATGTTTAAAGGAAATGATGAAGTATGGTAATGGAAGTAGGATGAAGTATGGTAATGGAAGTATAATGAAGGTGATGGATACGAATATGAAAGGTAGTATCTCAAAGAAGACTCAAAGAACCAATGCTAAAGAACAAAGACCCAGACTTTATATTGCTTCTTTAAGGGGTGGTAAACAAGGACTTTGACCCACTATATATAAAGGGATAGGAACAAGAAGTATCAGGGTGAAATAGAAAGGGGTGACGCCACAAGCATAAGCTTGATAAGTCGATAAAGTTCACTTAAGAACTAAAGAGAGAAACTCTCACAAATATTTGATTAAACAAAGTCAATTGGTTTTTTTTTACAAATGAATGGAAAGCTATTTATAGGCCTAAGAGTTCATGGTGTGAATACAAAACATTTAATGAGTGAACCTTCATGGATGAATGTTCATACTTAAGTAGATACAAAGCATGACTTAGGTGAATGAATTTTGATGAATGGATGTTCATCTTTTAATGGAATACATCCTTTGGCCGAATTCATCCCACCTTGTGTGAACTTGTTGATTTGTCTTCTATGGATAAATGTTCATGAATGTATCTTGGCTGAAATTCTTCCCCTTGTGTGAACACGACTATTTGGCTTCTTGCATGAATATGCATGAATGGATGAATTTAAAAGCCTTTGAATGAATCCTTGCACCTCCTCACAAATGTTCTGATTCATTTTAATATTCTTTTCTCGTCCATGCATGTCTTCATTAATTCCTCCCATGCATAAGTCCTTTGAAGGAGATGAATGGTTGCAAATCCCGTATTAATTTCCAGCCTGCACTATCTTCAGTAATCTGGGCATATCTCAAAGCTCCCGATATCAGATTGATGTGATTCAAAATGCGTTGGAAAGCTACGAGATAGGAGATTAAATGTTAAGAAGACTTCATCACCCAAAGATGCTTGAAACATGTTCAAAATTGTAGATAAATCTGACTGACGTGAACTGTCCAACCAACTCTTCAATTGCCTTTAGTCTTCTTAGCATCCAATGAACCTAGACAAAGTATGTAAACAAATAATTAGATAGGAATTGAGCCATGATAATTATGAATGCATGTTTCCACCTATGTTAATAATGCAAATGAGCTAACTATGAATGCATATGCATTCAATTAGTTATATAAAGATGTGAATTAATAAGTCATGTATGAATATCATATATTATACATATAAATGACAACATATAATATTCAAGCAAAAATTACGAATAAGATAAACATATTCACGTGACATGTAAAGCATAAATGAGTAAATAAATAATAAAATAAGGTAAGACTCCCTTAGAATCAACAAAGTAGAACGTCCATGAAGTGATCACGTGTTGAAGAAGTTTGGTCCTTGGCATGATCGCATCATTGGGCTTTTCCAATTGTAGCCGATAGAGGATTTTGAAGTCAAAGACTACTTGTAGGCTAGTACATATGGTTTTTTTTCCTTTTGTTTATTTTGCAGTTACATGAAAAGGTATTAAATTAACATTCGCTAATTACGATTATTAGGCTTTTATTAGTTTAAAATTTAATATTTAATATCCTAATTTAATTTCAAATAATTTGGTTTATCTATTTTATTGGTATTAATAAGTTTAAATAAATAACAATCATTTTTCTGTTCGTCGTTAAAGCAATGAGTCTACTACTTGTTTATTATAATAGATCACGTAATTACAATCGTGTGACAATCTAATCGCTCATGAACCTATCAAGTAGTCTCAGGTGAATATTTATGGAAATTCTTTTGGTTCAAAATTTCGTTTTCAAAAGCATTCCCAAACAATTTGTTTTCATCCAAAAGTTCATATTTAAAACATGATTATTGGCTTAAGCTAAAAAGCTGGAAAACCAGTGCTTTGGAGTTGGAAAATGTAACACCCCAATTCGAAACTCTAGAACTTGGGGGAAATTGTTTAAATTCCTAATTTATGATTGGTGACCTAATTGAAAAACTTGAAAGTTTTTTAATTTATTATGTGAACTCTATAAAGTTTTGGTGACGTTCTGTGTGATTTGTCCTTTTTTTAAAACGCAATTCCTACTCTCGATTCTTTATATCTCGCGGCGCCTTCCATTTTTCTTTCTTTTCCTTCTTGCCCAAAACCCTAATCACCGCCTCTCCCGTTTTTGTCGTATCCGCTGCTGAATAAGGAGAAATCGAATCGAGAATTGACCGTATCCTCCGTTGTTATCCGTAAATTTTAAATCGACCCGTGTTATTCGAATTAGCTGAATTGATTCAGGTTGATCTATTGGTTGAGCTGATCTTGAGAGGCGTCATGAACGTCGTTAGTTATTTTGTCGAGGTATATCTCGATCCGGTGCTACATTTTATTTATGAATATCTGATTGTCTGGCTTGACCTTTGATTATCTAGTTTATGCTTCGGTTATTGTTACGTGAAATTTGATATTATGTTATATATCGGAATATGAAATATATTAAATATTGATTTGTCGGACATAAATTTGTGTTATGTGAAGCATGTTGATTTATCGGATTTGGACTTCATGTTATGCTTTCAGAGAATATGATTATGTAATTCTTATTATATTTGGATCAAATCAAAAAGATATATGTATATTGTCATGTCATACTGGATTGTGCATTCACTTGACAGGGTAAATGTCACTTCGGATTCAATGACCTCATGCTTTTGTGACGGACCCTACTTCGGATGTTGTTAATAGCATATGGGTTCTGAGGAACCTACTCCTCGAACTATGTAAGGCGAATTGGTGCATATTTATTTGCATTTCATTCCAACCATGAATATTACGACTCAGACTGTGAATATGTTTATTTTTTGAATTTATTTGTCTGATTGCACTTTAAATACACATTAAGCTTAATAACTTACATCCTATAGTTTTTGTTTCAGATACTCATACTTAGAAGATTTGATACTTAGAGAATCGTTTTCATTATTCAGATACAAATATTATTTCAGTATCATTTTGTTCGACTCTTTCTTTATCAGATCTTTGCTAATATTATTTTGGGATTACTTATTTGCAATTTGAGGCTTTTGACATCACAGTGTTTCGGACTTTTTTTGCATGACTTTGGGAATATTTACTACTTATATTGTTTTTCTTTACTCGGATATTTTACTTTGGTAAATTATGAATTATTGAGCTTGAGAATTGTTTATCTATCATAAATATTATTTTTTTAAAATTTAAATCAAACATGTTTTTCGAGAGAAATGAATTTCACTTGAGCTCTTTGGATTTGACCTAATTCTTTTAGGTCGGTTTAAAGAGTTACAGAGATCATTTGGAGCAGCATTCCCAAACTAAGTTCTAGTTTTAATCAAACGTTTTTTTCAGGGGAAATGAATTTCAATTGGGCTCTTTGGATTCAATCTAATTTTTTTTGGTCGGGTTAAGAGTTACAGAGAAACTCGTTTGGAGAAGCACTCCCAAACTAAGCTCTAGTGGTGGAATGTTGTTATTCTTAGAAATTTTATATTGGAATAGTTGTATCGGAAGGTGTGTGCACATAGTCAATGATTATTTTTTTAATAGATATCATCTTATAATCGCTTAAAGTATTAAATATATATATATATATAATCACTCATAATCAATCAATTAATATGAACAACAGTATCTGTATAAGAGCATTTCATTATGATAGAATAGTGGGAAAATTGTTAGACATCTCGAAGAACAACCTAAGAAAATTACAGAGAAAAAGAAATGTCATACACATATTTCATTTTCTTTAATCTTATAAACCATTCAAATTCACTTGCATGTTGAAAAGAATCATATCAAACTATGTATGATCGGCGATTAAGATCATCCCATCTCATCTCCATCGGCTTTCACCACAAGTAGAGCAGCCTTCTTTCGCAATATCAGTGATTTGAACTCCAGAATCATAAACAACCCCCGTTTTCCAGTCAGCCGGGAGCACAGCGTTTGCCCAAATCCACTTCCCATCGAACCCAGCCGTCACCACGAATCTGAACTGCAGTGCACCATTCGGGACCCCGCTTGTTTCCCACACTGCACCATGCTTCCTGCTCATGAAATTCCAGTTGGAAGAGCCGACCTGTGCCACGTCCATGGCTACTACTTCCGTCTGACCACCCTGGTACAGCAATTTAATCGCCAAGTAATTTGGCTTTCGGCTTGATTCTTCTACCCTGACTGCTAAGTTCTGGTTTTTGTATTGACAAGGTATCCTGTTTCACGTGACAAATTAACGTACAGATCATCATTATGGCTGCAGCCTAGAATAGCATGATGATCAATGTTTTGATTATCGCTTGCCTTTTATATTCGACGTGGACAATCCCAAGTTTCAAGATTTTTTGGCCCATGCCCTTGTTTGCCATAGCCATGAAAGCTCTGCTGCTAAGAACAAAGTCCGTTTTGTTGTTGTGATTGAGATCGGTTAGTGTGACCCTAGTCCCCGCACTGCTGCACAGAGTTGGATTCTTGCACCTTATCTGGCAGAAAGCACATTGAAAATCAAATCCAAGTGTTACAGAAAATGGAAACTAAACTGTTGTATAAATTTATAGTTTTATACAAACCTTAAAGCAAGCACCGCAACCAGCTCCCTCTTTGTAAAGAGAAGGAACACCAGCTGCAAGGTGTCCGCCACTTAAGCCTAATGCCAAGGAACCATACCCACAAGCACCAGCTGCAGATACCAAACCCACAAAACAAAGGTCACCCACTAAATTTCTCACATAAATATAATCTGGGTCTCTGTCAATTTCGTTTTTAAAGCAAGAAAACAACTCTGGGCATTAATCAAATTGGTGGGAAAAAGAGAAAACTAGAACATTGAAGCTGAACCTGAAAGAGCAGAGACTTTGGAGAAGTGAGCAGCCTTGGACTGGTGCAGGCAGCTATCACAAGCAGAATCAGAAGCAGAAGAAGAAGAAGAAAGGAGAAGGAACAAGAAGCTAAGAAAGAGAGCCATTTGTGTGGAGTTGAGAGAAATGTAAGTGACAAGAAAAGCGTTTGATCATCAGTTTATTTATACTGTGGTACCACACAGTATAGGAAAGAGACAGGCAAGCTGCTCAAACGCGGAGAGACAAAAACAAAAGGTAAAAAAAACTGTCACCGACCCAACAGCTGTTGCTGTGCAAGTAAGGAATGAGAACAATGAGACTTTGTTTCAAAACAGAGTAGCTTTTCATTTTGGGTCTTCTTTTAACAGTGGGATTTTGATGGATTTGCAAGTGAAAGTAGGGGTTTGGGATGCAAAGTTTTGGCACTTTTAGGAGAAGGTTCATCTCAGTTTCCCATTCCCCATGTCTTTGCATTTTTGAGATTTAGTCTTGATCACATAACAATAAATAAATGAAATTTAATAAATAATTTAAGGTTGAACTTATATAGATGGTATTATTTTAATAGATAATGGAAATATAAATTATTTTGTATTAATTAAAGCGTACACATTTTGTTTAACACTGTAATGGTGGCTTAACTGGCATAAGATGGTTAAAATGTGACGATGATGGCGATTGCGTGTTAATTAGTGGAAGGATAAGAACAGATTCTAAGCAAAGCGTATTTCCAAAAACTTGAACAGCTATGGTGTGGCCTATGACCGAAAGAGGCCTTTCTTTATTTGTACAATGATTTTTTTTTTTACTATAATGCTGTGGGCTATGGCAGGGTCCCGAAAATGTTAGAGACGACTCGGTATATATCATAAATTGTAAATATTGATTTAACAATGACAACAACAGTCGGATTCTCTATGGGATGCGGTTATCATTCTCAATGGCATGCGAAGGACATCACGTACATGGAGAAATCACTTAGCTTGGGCTTGTGATGCTTGGAAAGGTAGATCCTTGCTCACTACAATTTTGAAATTAGCTTGGACAACATTTATTTACACTGTTTGGGAGGAGAGGAACAAGAGGCTTTTCCAGGGATGCTCATGAAATTTTGAAGCATTACTCTATGCTGTAAAACAAACTGTTGCTATCCAACTAAGGGGTAGAAGTATTAATAGGAATGATAGTGTTAATACTATGTTTTGTAATCATTGGGGTATTGAATAGCTGAATTCTATTCTACTGTAAGTAGATACTGTTTGTATTCTTGAACAAGCTGTTTTTATACAGATATTTGGGTAATAAAATCGAATTATCCAAAAAAAAAACAGTCGATTCCTCCATTTCCCATTTTTTTTGTAACACCAAGGCATCATCAGCTTATCTCATTGGTTGGCGTTTAGCAGTTCACCTGTACTGAAAAGGAACCAAAAATAGGAAGACAAGGAGAGTGGGTGGAACAGCCAACAGACAGTTCACAGCTGCATGCAATAGAAAATTCATGCAGTAGGAGCTGGCAGTGTTTGGTCCCATGTGGATGAAATCGCTGACCTAACGAAAAATCATATCAGGCTGCGTATTTGCAGGATCATTTAAAATCATTTCTTACTGTATTCTTATTCTCCTTCCCTTTTGCTGGTGATGACAATATTATTACTTAATGAATACATGAGCATCAAAATATTCGATTTCCAGACCATGTCGGCACCGATATCAAGCCATATCCGGTGCTAAAATACATGCTGCAGGATATAAGATGATGATTGTTGTTACTCATGCTGCAACGACACCAACAAGTCTAATCTGACGTATAATAGTAATGCAGGATACCTTTTTTTCCATGAATATATAGGGTTTTTTTATGTGTTAGTGTTTGAATATATATTGTACATAAATGTCGAACATGAATGCTTTTTAAAAAACAAAGTCCGAGCATATCAGCGGTCTAATCATCTCTTATAGGCTGACTAAATCATGGTAGAAGCAGCGAAACGTTCAATTAATTTATTTTTCTATGTTTTGGTAAAGGAGAATGTTATTCCTTTTAGATGATCCGGGTTCCTAAAAAATTATGTGCTTCACTTCGAAATTGACAGCAGCATAGCGAGGACATTTGTCTAATTTGGGTCTTCATTTTGTTTTCGTTGTTTACAGCCTTTGTGGTTCTTCAATTGTGTTAAGCTGCTCATGCAGGTATCTGGGAGACAAGGCAGAGCTAGTGATCATAAAGAATGCAGGGCATGAGATCAATATAGAGAAGCCTAAAGAGTTATGCAAGCACTTCAAATCTTTCCTTATTGATTCACTCCCTGCTTTAAAGCAGTGGCTGTAAAACAGATCGAAAGGTATGCAAGAAGATCCAAGATAATTCCGGTTTCTCACAAAAGCCTGTTTTAACTGGCGCCTAGCCATTTTGTTTGGAAACATCTTATTATCACCATTTATGCCAAATCGTCTTGCTCGTCTTTCCATATCTTACCTGAAAGACTTTTGTTCGAGGTTTTTCGGTTAAAATACAGATAATCATTCTCAGTTTTCCATATTCAGATGAAGGCATTTGTTACACAGATTACACATGCTTCAAATTTTAGAATTCATGTATGAATTCTCCAATCTCAAGCTTAGAAAGGCATCAAAGGTGTGTCAAGGCGATGCCATTTTTACGTTCCTTTTTTATTTTCAATTGTTTCATTGGGTTTATAGGTAATTGAAAATCTTACATTTCAACAGTGTCGTTGCGTAGTTGGTTATCACGTCAGTCTAACACACTGAAGTTCTCTGGTTTGACTCCGAGCGATGCCATTTTTATGTTCCTTTTTTTATTTTCAAGTTTTTCCGGATACTGAAACGCTTTTCTTCTCTTGATATGGGATTTATGCCGTCAGGGACAGTAGAAACTAGAAACGTAGGAACGTAGGGAAAAAACAAACTTCTGCTCTGAATCCATTGCAAAACATCAACCGTGTAATATCCTCATGCAGATTTCAACATAGTCTATATTCCAGAGAACATAAGTCCAGGAAATGAAACAAAATGATCCAACAGCACAGGAAAGCATTAACTGGTCTTAAATTAGTGTATGAAATTTGGATATTTGTTCAGGATTTAGAGGAACTTGTAAGCGAATGGGAAAAGCTATAATAAGTCTAGAGATTGAATCATACAATCTGAAGCAGCGACGAGACCGACAAGGAAGGTAGGCACAAACAAAATCAACAGTAGACCTCCTCACCATATGAGCACGCTTTTCACCTTTGGGGAAGAGTTCTATCTCACAAGTACTTAGCCCTCGCAAGATCTTAGAACTATGATACTGTGTCATTATTCATACCAACTTTCGTAACATTATCCGTTCCAGTTTATTGGTCACATGATTTATCTCATGTCTACAAGTACATTGGTGCTCGCATTTATATAGTAGAACAGTATGAGCTTCATATCTCATCACTAAAACAGTATGATGATGCTTCCTTATAAAGTGATTTGACCAAAAGATGTTTCATTTTCAGTACTTGCTTTTCTCTGTCAGGAAGTTGACATCCTTCTGCTTTATGATACACCCAAAATATCAAGTTCTGTTCTACAATGAGGCCCGAATCAGCAGCAGCTCTTTCAATGTCATGGCATTTGTCTGGCATCAATTATTACATCTTTAGAAGTTTCATATGATTTAATCTCTGATAATGATAATGTTAAGCACACAGATATGCAATGGAGCTAGATAGTACAGAATTCATGGCCGAGAGGAGGCTCCATTGTGGTCCTTGTCTCCTTGACCAACCACGCCTAATGCAAAAGCTATAGAAGTTGCCGGTTGGTGTTGATGAACCATCGGTGGCTCAAGAAGTTTTTTTTTGTCATCTAGACCACAGATCAGAAACGCCATCTCACACCCTTGTCATATCTCGGAAACGACATATTTGTTGAACTCTTAGTTCAAGTTGTGGTCCTATGGTGCTGCCGTGCGATTCAGCCTTGTTTGAATACATAGTCTACTTGGTTCAAGGATTGGATAGACACCTGGAGAACGCTCTTCTTAGTTCCATTTCTCCTAGGGTGCTACTCTCTGCACATCTTTCCATCAAGGACAGACAAGCCATTTTTACGTTGTTTTTTATTATTGGTTAAAAGTATTATTTTATTAACTGAAATCAATGGTGTCGTGGTGTAGTTGGTTATCACGTCAGTTTTACACACTGAAGGTCTCCGGTTCGAGTCCGGGCTACGCCACCTTTTTAAGTTCCTTCACTGATTGGTGCACTATTTTTATTCCTTCTTCCCTTTGGGGTCTAAAGGACTTCTTGCTCGTCTTTCCATGTCTTTACCTGTAAGACCTTTTGTTCGAGGTTTTTCGATTATATTGCATAATCATTCACGGTCTTTCATATTCAGATGAAGGCAATTGTGACTACGCATGCTGCAAAACATAAGATGGTGCTTGTTGTTTCTGATGCTGCAACTAGGGATGGATCTAGGGGCTGGCGGGGCTGTCACTCCTCTCAAAATTTTATATAATATATACATTTTCTTTGTACTTTCTATCGATAATCTCTTTTTGTCCCCTAAAATTTTATAAATTCACCGCCGATATAAAATCATAGGGCAGTCTTTCACTGTAAAAGACACCTACAAGTGTAATATGAAGTATAATAGTATTGCAGTTTGCATCTGACATGAGGATCTGCATTCATAGCATTAGCTAGGCTTCGAAACTCTGCCTCAGTAGACAACCTAGCAACCACTCCTTGCTTCTTAGAACTCCAAGCAACAAGATTTCCTCCTAAAAACATGCAATGACCAGCTGTTGAATGTCGATCATCTGAGTTAGTGCCCCAATCAGAATCAGAGTATCCAGCCAGAGTTGTATTTGTTTTGCTTGAACTAAAAAACAAACCATGATCCATGGTTCCTTTGAGATAACAAACAACCCTTTTAACAGCCTTCCAATGTTTATCAAGAGGAGCCTGCATGAATTGACTAACCCTATTGACAGCAAACTGGATAACTGGTTTTGTAGTGCAGATACGTTGAAGAGTTCCCACAACTTGTCTGTATAGAGTCGCATCTAAGCAAAGATTAATACCTTCAGCAATAAGCGGAGGATTTGTAACCATCGGCGTAGGTGTTGGAGTGCAGTCCACCATCTTTGTTTTCTCCAACAAATCCAAAATATGTTT